TTCTACAAGTGAAAATGTATTATCTCCCACACGTTACATTAATTTGTTTGTGATGATTGATTAAAAAATAAGTTTTAATTTGACTAAATAATGAAATGAAAATTTCCATTCGTCTAATTTTATAATCTTTTATCACCTTTAAATGAGAAGCAAGTAATCAAAACGCATATTGTCCATTGCTGGAACAAATTGTGTTTGATATGAAATCGGGTAGTTTTTAATACATTATACGCGTTGCTGGTGACAGATTTCTTCAAAATGCATTTAATTTAATGTGTTGAATTTTTCTCACCGGCGGACTAACTGCGTTGTGATTAGTTGCTCCTCAACTGAATTATTAACTATAAAATGCAATGAGTTGTTTGTTAACGAAGTATTATCGTTTTATGTAAAACAATATTTTATCTTGGTGGGGAACATTCGTCGTACTTCAGATTGTAGGCTTTTATATACTGCACCTCTTCTTAAGAGACGAATCCTATTTCACGTGGCCAATCCTTGTTTGTGGGTCTTTGATACCGAAAAATTGAATAACAGCAAAACGTAAATCTGTCTCCCGTCCGTCCAGCTGTCCGTCCGACTAATCCGTTCATCTGATTGTCTCGAAATTTGATATTCGGCTATCGATCTCCCCGATGTCACGGCCTTTTGAATTTGAAAGCGATAGTTTAATTTTGGAGGGTATTTTACATGAAGGTCCTAGGACAATTTCCAAATTTTCCAACAATGAATCCATCGTTTTTGATTAAGTTTTGTTTGTTTTTTGATGGAATAAGAGAATGGTGCAGCTCTCATATTGGTTAAAACCCTTGATTGTTTGAAAATTGCAAGTTCAAAATTTTTTTGAGAGTCTTCCTACAATTAATATTAAAGATAAAGTTTTTTTCTCGAACTGAAATGTGTTCCTTAGATACAGATTTTAAAATAAGGTCATGTCAAATTTTTCGAAAGTTTGAGTACTTTTTGCGTAATTCGGTGAAATTTTGTGTGAAAGTGCGAACGAGAAAATTCGTCTTGCACCTCTAGTTTCATTACATTATCTTAGGTCGTTTGCTTCTTTTTTGATTCTAAACCATCCATTTGAGTCCTCAAAATTGCTTGAAATCTCTGTATCATCATATTAAACACGTTATGTGTAACTTTTTGGGCGGTCGTCTATATGGCATCAGGATAAGGAAAAGCTGAAACAATGGAGATGGGCTTGCTGAGTAGTTTGCAATTACCACCTGGAGCAGCAATTTCGCTATTTAGAATGTGTCATGACCAAATGTCTTTTTCAGCGGTAATAAAGGTTAGTTGTGGTTTTCCTCATCCACAATCATCTTTCATACAAATGATTGCGGGTAACTTTCTAAACTACACGTGATATCTCTTTACTTCTCTCATTCAGACGTAGACCTTTAATATCATGGTGAAACTTCAGCGACCGTCCCGAGGAAGTACTTCTAAAGCGGAGGATTCGATTGGATGTAGGATACACTTTGTCTTCCACTGACCCACTTTAGAGTTAACTGTTTTAAACTTTGAAACGTATATTTTTAAACCTGATGGATAAGTAAGTAGGTTTGGAGTGTTTTGGATTAATTATGTTACTGAATAACATCACTAATTGTTCTCTGAACTGAAGCTTAAAATTATGACCTGTGCCTTTCCTGTCACTATTAAAACATTAAAAAAATACAACACAACCAAACCATTTTACATCCTCAATTGTATTGTGATATTCTGGAAAATACAAATATTTTTCCGTGCGAGGCGGTGTATTTTAAAACTCTATGACCGTCCTAACAAGTCCAAACCAAAATTCTTGCAGTCTCGGCACGTTCCATGGATATATTTCCCATAGAATTTGGAAACGTCTGCCAACTACATGTGGTTCGCGGACGTACTAAAACCATGTGTTATATTTTGTGAACCACATATAGCTCACAGGACAGTGAAAGTGTTAAGAACGTGTTAAGAAGAACTGTTGCCTAATAATTAATTTTTACCAAATCCATGCTTCAAATCTGTGAATGCTTCTTATTTACTAAGAAAGGTTCCCATTCTTACAATAAAATTTATCTATAATATTTTTAAATAAACTGACTAAAGATTAACTTGCCATTCAATTTAGAATATTCATTTTTGTAGCTTTAAAAATAGCAGCTTAATTCTAGCGGTATTGAAAACATTTGAAATGTTCTGGTTCAAAATAAATGAAAAATGTGATTGAATGTATGAATAATGATAGGAGTAACGTCTAACAAACAGTATGGGAATTCATCTACACTGGCGAATTAATATTATTTAGTTTTTTGATTAGATTGTTTCTACAACTCTGAACTGAAATTCGAGCACTTAGAATATTTCTGGTTCTAAACGCATAACCTAAGAATTCCTATGGCTTGAGCAAAACTCCGGAATGTGCACTAAATGCAAAGTGAGCATAAAATTATGGGGCAAATATTGACAAATTATACTGTTAATACCTGTAAAATACTGGACAATTGTTTTATTATTATTATTATTATTATTATTATTATTATTATTATTATTATAAAAATATGCTGATATAAAATAAAAACGGCTTTCTTGAGATCCACCACTTGATCGACTTTCTTGAGATCCACCACTTGGTCGACTTTCTTGAGATCCACCACTTGGTCGACGTGCTTGAGATCCACCACTTGATCGACTTGCTTGAGAGATATACCACTTGGTCGACTTACTTGAGAGATCCACCACTTGGTCGATTTGCTTTTGATCCACCACTTGATCGACTTTTCTTAGATCCACCACTTGATCGACTTGCTTGTGCGATCCACCATATGATCGTCTGGCTGAGAGATCGACCACTTAATCGAATTTTTTGTGATCCACCACTTGGTCGACTTGCTTGAGATCCACCACTTGATCGACTTGCTTGAGAGATCTACCCTTTGATCGGCTTGCTTGAGAGATCCCCCACTTGATCGACTTGCTTGACAGATCCACCACTTGATCTACTTTCTTGAGATCTACCACTTGATCGAATTGCTTGACTTTCTTCAGATCTCCCACTTGATCGACTTTCTTCAGATCCACTACTTGATTGACTTTCTTCAGATCCACCACTTGATCGACTTTCCTGAGATCCAACACTTCATCTACTTGCTTGGATTCAAAAATAGATCGACTTTCTTGAGAGATCCACCACTTGATCGACTTTTTGAGATCCACCACTTGATCGACTTTTTTGAGATCCACCACTTGAACGTCTTTCTTGTGATCCAAACTTGATCGACTTGCCAAGGAGATCCTCCGCTTGATTGTCTTTCTTGAGATACACTTGATCGACTTGCTTGAGAGATCCTACATTTGATTTACTTTCTTGGAATCCAACACTTGATTGACTTGCTGAAGATATTGGTAGATTTATTTGGGATCCAACACTTGAACGACGAGGAGGGGTGTAAAGCAAGAGAATAGTGTAAACCTTTGCGATATTCAGCGGCGTACTCGGGCAGTTCTCGCGAATTACTTTAAGGAGATTCTCTGAAAGAAGAAGTAGTACGAGGAAGTCTATGCCATTTTATTGCAAGATTTCTTATAGAACTATAGATGCATATGTACATACACCTACAGATTATGCATTTGTAAAAAGCTCTGAGTGTGTGAAGGAGCACTTTATAAATCAGTAGGTAGAATGTACATTTTATAGGTCGATATATATATATATATATATATATATATATATATATATATATATATATACATAATAAATACACCTACAGGTGTCCTTATACGTTCGCAAAACGCTTGTAGTGTGTGAAAACACTTTATAGGTCGATAAATACATATATCGACACAAATACATAAATACATTCATACACATACTGATTTTTCTGAAATATGATTGGTGGTAGTTGAGATTTAATTGCAAGTATTCCATTAATATAGAGAAAATAAACGGTGTTTCATGGAACTAACGAACATTTTTAGTTAACTAAACGAAAACAAATGTTCTGCACGGAAAACGAACCGTGCTGTTCCTCTTGTTTTACTCTGAGGATATCTTTGTTATGTGCTACACATACCCTTTTTCTATTTTGATTTCGTATGTCATTGCTCTGAATAATGCTAGATGTTGATGTTAAAATAAGTACTTGTTTTACTAGTAAACAGTGGCGTTCATCATATTTTCCGTAATGTGCTAACCCAAAGTTCTGCCAAAAGTAATCACTCTACTTATAAATTACATTTTCGTAATTTGTAGTAAATTTCATGATTAGATGATTGATGGATTGATTACTAGTGGTTCCTGGTGCACAACTACCAAGGTCATCAGTTCTGAAAGTGTAGTGAATGTTTTTGTTCAAGTGGCGGTGGTGGCAGTCTTTTCCCTTTGTGCGGCAAGGTCAGGCGCAGACCTACCGTCGGCTACCTAGGTTTCCCCAACCAGATATCTCCCACTAACAGGGCACCTCCACTTCTGGGACAAGTTCTCAGCTCCTAATCGGTCTCCCAACGTGTGATAGTGTAGCGCGTCGTGTGTGTGTGTAACTAAAGGATGAGATAGAAGAAGAAATGAGAAAGAAAGATCGCGCGCGGTCCGTGGCCTGTTTGTTAGGGTACTGCTTCAGCATTTGCTTGGTATTTAACAGATAAACCGCGGAAGACAATCGGCCATTGAAGTCGGCCGCTAGAAGTCTCCTCCAGGCAGTGGATAAACTTGGCCTACGTCAAAAATACTACCATCATCGGAACACGAACCTAGGACCTCCCGGTCAGAGGCGCTGCAATGACATCAGTTGATGCCCTGAGCCACCTCTTCCCGTGAATTTGTACTTCATTCTACCAACATTTCCCTATTTCGGACAACGCTCCCTTCGTTTACGTTAATCTGGGCCATCTGTCCAGTTGCGACGTGATGCGATGGGTAAGACGTAGAAAGCTGCTAATCTAGTGCTTAAAACGTCGGTAAAACGATATCAACTTCCTTGTGTAACATAATACAATGTCAACAGCGCGTCAGCAGTATGTCATCGGCACTACTCCGAAGGCGGGCGGGTAGAGTGAACAAAGTGAGTCCCCAACGGGCGAGGTTCGCGCTGCAGGTGGGCGGACCGGTGGATAAAGTTGCCGCAGCAGATGCCACCGGTGGGTGCGCGAGACAGGCGACCCATAACCCGGTGAGTGCTGCTTCAATTCCTACTTTACGTCTCTTGAGGTCATTCAGCGGAACAGTTGATGAACATTATATATATATATATATATATATATATATATATATATATATATATATATATAGAGAGAGAGAGAGAGAGAGAGAGAGAGAGAGAGATCAAAAAACAGGGAAAAAGAGAAAAAAGTGTGAAGTGAGAAAAAAAGAGGAAACGTGTAGTGCGAAAAATGGGAGAGAGGAAGAGAGAAGAGAAAAGAAAAATAGAGAAAAGAAAGAAATGAAGAAAAGAAAAAAATTAATAGAGAGGAAGAAAAGAAAACGAGAGGGACAGAGAAACAAGAGGAAAAAGAAAAGAGATATATGGGAGAGAGAGAGTGAGAGAGAGCGAGGACGAGAGCAAGAGAGAGTGAGGGTGAAAGCGAGAGGGCTCGTGTAGGACACTGTAGGAACGCCCCCCTCCCCAAAAGGATCGAAGACTATCAAGAATACCGATTTGCCGTACTAACGAGCCTACTGATCAGAGAACTGCCTGAGCCGCAAGACCAGAGCACTGTCACTGCCTAAGCTCCCAACCGGTCTCCCGTCATGTGTGGTAGTGTAGTTCATGTAAGTGTAACTGAGTGTAAGGGGCGAAGATGGTACAAGAAAGAGGAAGTAAAAATCGCGCGTGGTCCATAGCCCGTCTCTTAGGGTACTCGCCTTGAGTTGATCGGAGAAACCACGGAAAACGCCCGATCAGAGCAACCGGCCGCTAAAATTCTCCTCCTGACAATTGCTGTATTCGACCTAGAATCCAAAATCCTGTCACTGTCGGGACTCCAATCAAGGACCTCCCTGTGAGATGCACTCCTGTGCCATCAATTGACACCTGGGACTACCTTAGCCGGTCACTCGAATTGAAAATTATTATAAAAATTACAAAATAATGACGCCCTTCACCCTCTCAATTGTCAATGCGCAAGGACAGGATGCGACGAGAATTGTCCCACCAGACAAAGTCCTCTCAGACAAAGGAAGCGAGAAAGAGCGCTGCTCTGGTTATTCACAGGGCGTGTAATAAGCCTTCTGCAATTCGGATGTGTTGGGCCTCCGCGGGCGCGAGGTGTAATGATGGCGGCGGAATGGAAGAATCAATGAGAGCGCCGGCGGGCGTCCGTCGCGCATAGCGGCCTATCTTTCAATTACCGCGAGGGCAGGCGACGGCAGCGCTCCCAGCGGCCACCCGCGGCGACGCGGCGCGCACCTGCGCGGCTAGAGCGCCCCGGGAAGCCGAGTGGAGGGCTTCCGACTCAACTCTGCCGAGTGGGCGGCTTAGATCGCTCAGTTGAAGTCGCAGCAGTGCCTCTCATCGGGAGGTCCTAGGTTCGAGTCCCCACAGTGGCAAGGTTTCCGACTGCTAGAATTAAGTCGCTCTCTGAGGAGAATTCTAGCAAATTCATTTCGAATTCAGACGCCGTCGCCCACGCCCACACCATGCGAGGTGGCTCAGGGCATGAACTTATGTCACTGCACTTAGATCGCTCATTTGAAGTCACAGCAGTGCCTCTCATCGGGAGGTCCTAGGTTCGAGTCCCCACAGTGGCAAGGTTTCCCACACTAGCCTAATCGAATTCAATCGCTGTCTGATGAGAATTCTTGCAAATTCATTTCGAATTCAGATACCGTAGCCCACGCTCCCACCATGAGAGGTGGCTCAGGGCGTCAGCTTATGTCACTGCAGTGCCTGTGACCGGGAGGTCCTAGGCTTTGACTCCCGGCGGTGGCAGAATTTTCGACACTAGTTATATAGTTCAGTCGCTGTCTGGAGGAGTTCTCTAGCGATCGACCGCTCAGGTCGGTACGTTCTGATCGTGGTTTCTTCGATCAACACCAGACGAATATCTGAGCAGTACCCTATGAAACGGGCCACGGACCGCGCGCGATCTTTCCTTCCTCTTCTTTATCATATCCTCGCCCCTTACTTACATACTGTTACACTAGCATCCACTACAGTAGCACATTCTAAAAGCTTAGGGCTTGTACCGGCTGGGGTGGTCCCCACTGGTGGTAGATATCTGTCTGGGGAAAACCCCGCGTGTCTAAGTAAAGATTAGCGCCAGATCTCGCCATTCAGCGGGGAAAGATCGCCACCACCTTGCGTTATAAACATATTAACTACACTTACAGGATTAACAACAGCGGTTGACACACCTGAAAACTCCATTCAATAAATCATACATAAATGTATTAAATTATGAGCATAAAAAATTAAGGATGGGACAAGTTAAGGGAATAAAATATTTTATTACATAAAATCTCGTAACCCTTTTGATAATTTTCAGGTGTGCCAGGCACTTTTCACTCCCTTCCCTGTATGTCCTCCTATGGTCTACTGTCTCTTTTAATTTTGTTAAAATTTATTTTACCTCAAAAACATTGTAACACTATTAAAAGGTAATCCGTGCATAATTTGTGAGCTCAGGAATGTTTACCCTTGATGTAAACCTCCCTTTGATAGAAATTTAAATCATGAAAATGATAGTAACCAGCTTTTTTACCAACAAGAATTAGTGAGAAAATATTCTCCCCTGTGTAGTAAAAAACTATTTGCTAAAATGTGTTTCACATTGAGTGCATTACCTCTGATGGAGTTTTCTGTGATGGAATAGACTTGCTGCTTCGATAACTTGAGGAACGATTATTTGAATAACTATAATCTCCAATGAGCTCAACAAAACGTGCACTGATACTGAATATACATATAAATCATCACACATCAGAAGCACAAATACTGTAGTCCAATTTACGTGCATTAATATTATTCATTTCCTTACTTTCAAATGTTCAAATCAAGTCTGTTAGCAAGGCGTTGGATAATCATGTTATTTGAAAGAAGATGGCCGGGTGTTCATTGCCTCGATAGTACAGTCGACTTTTAAGAATGTTTTAATTCTCATTTATAGTTAGTGTTCAGGATGTGAAACATTGTGTTTTTTATATTTTAGTGTCTAGAAACTACTTCCTGTTATGTTTTGGCATTACACAGTTATCATGCAATTACTCTTCTCATATCGTAGAATGTAAATGACGCAGAAGTGTTATGGTAATATTTTAATGTAAAATGCTGCACACTCGCCACTCCTGTTTTAAAGCTTCTTCAAACTTTAATTAACTGGCTATTTAATACAATTAACATCAGAAAAAGTTACAATCGGTCCTTTTTTTATTATTTCAGGAAAATAAATAACAAAATTAATACGTAAACTTTAATACGTAACTACACATAATTATTGCCTTAAAACTAGAGCATCAAATATAATGATCTCAAAGCTTAAAATTCTAATAAAACCATGCCTATTTTTGAAGGAAGAACTGACGTTAGGGTTTTCTAATAATACTTTTATTAATATTCTCGTATCATAAAGATGTGGACGTTTGCTCAACATTGTATATGAGATTCACAATCTTATCACAGGGAATTGGTTTTCCGATTTTAAAGGAATGACTTCAGTAAGACATTTCCTTCTTGATGAAAGTAACAGTTGTTCTACAAATCATATAAATAATATTGTATTATAATTATTATCTCTATTTTGCAATTATTGTTCATTTCAGTACACAAAAATTAATGGATGACATCTTTGTATTGCACTTTTATTTTACCATGATCTTTCATGGTAGCATGATGTACGAAACCATTGTACAGATATAAGTATATATATATATATATATATATATATATATATATATTTTAAAACGTTTATTTCCTTTTTAAATGACTTAAATGGTTATTTCACAGACGTTTTCATGTAATTTTATGCTCCCCCTTAACTGTAACGTAAACTCTAGTGGAAAAATGAAGCTGTCATTCACCAACAAAACAGCTTCTAATTGTTATTTTTTGAAGTTTTTTCCTCCGATCTTCACCAAGAGAATGCAGGAGCTATAAATTAACAAATATGCCACTGAACGCGCGCGATCTTTCCTTCCTCTTTCTTGTCCTATCGTCACTTCTTACGCATGCACACACACACACACACATACACACACACGTGTGCATATACTACACTACCACCTGGAGACCTGTCGGGAGCTTATAGCTTGTCTCAGCTGCAGTAGTGCACCGCTGGGGAGAGATACCTAGGATGGGAAAGACCTCTCAAAGCGGCGTATAGGTCGGCAACCAGCGAGGAAAGATCACCACCACATCTTGTGATAAAAAGATCACTATACTTACGGGATTAGTGCGTCTGGCAGTTGACGTACCAGGAATTCCTAATCAAGAAAGAAAAAACATACAAACGAAGGATGACAATCAGGAGTAGATGGGATTCCTTTTCTAATCAAATCAATGAAATGTCTTGAAACATCCTTGACCAGAAGAATTCTTCGCAACGTGGTATCATTTTAAAGTATCATCTAATTTTTGGAGTCACATCCGCTTGTGTAGGCTTTATTCGTGTTGTTGTCCTATCAGTCTTGTTTCCTCAGGAATGCCAACTACATGGGGTCTTTTATGACGGACATTTAAAGTGAAAGGGAATGGAATGAACGCCACACCCTTCTTAATACCACCTATTTCAGGCGCTCATTAACCATCAACGCAGGACGTCCACGGAGCAGGAAAGGTTTTTATACTGGGCGCGACTCGTCGAGCAGCAAAGCATTCATAATAATAAATACTAAACAGCGAAGTATGAGGGCGTTATCTGTCCATAATTGCATTAAAGCCCGACGGACTCATAAACTGTTTTCTGTAAGTCGTAACTTAAATACTCTAAAATGTGTTCGATGAAGCATCCTTTAGAGCAATTCGTTTTAAATGAATTCTTCTACCTTCGGTTTCATGCAAGAAGTAACGATCTGAAATAATTCCTGTTTTTGCTAACGATTACTATTTATGTCAGTTGACATTGCTATTTGGATATCCGTGTGAATACTGAAGATGCATGTAAATTGCATTGTTTACTTGGAGACTAGAATAGAATAACGACTTTATATAGAATATCTTTTACACAAGTTATGAGA